ATATATATTAATTTTTTTATGAAATAAATTTTAGTCCTGATATACTGACATGTCTTTTTGTTAGAATATAAATATGGGATAAGATAAGAAAAGGAAGGAAAAAAAAGAGAGACAGACTTTACAAAGAATGTATGCATTTTGTGCCATCCCTTGTTCTATTTATTTATGCATTTAATGAGCAATTATCAGTGGAAAAATAATATACACTAGTTTCTTTTAGATCCAACCTCAATTTGTTGCATTTATATCATGATTTTAACCATATTATGTTTTGTTTGTAGGTCAAAGCAAACGACTCTGATATGGGCCCTAATGGAGAAATTGAATACACCCTTCATCAAGCTGTAGACCCAGTGCCAAAACTCTTACGGATTGATCGGTCCACCGGCATCATCTATGTCAAAGGACCTCTGGACAGAGAGGAAATCAGCAGCTTGTCCTTCTATGTAGTGGCGAGGGATAAGGGTCCTCAACCTAAAAGCTCCAAGACATTTGTAACCATCGAGGTGACTGATCAAAATGACAACGCTCCAGCTGTGGAGATTCGTGGAATTGGCCTTGTGACGCACAGTGAAGGAGTGGCTAATATTTCAGAGGACATGCCAGTGGGGACAGCTGTTGCTTTGGTACAAGTATCTGACAAAGATGAAGGAGAGAACGCAGTGGTTACTTGTGTGGTTGCAGGTGACGTGCCCTTTCAGCTTCGCCTTGCCAGCGACTCGACRGCTGACAACAAGAGGAAGTATTTTTTACAGACAACCACTCCCTTAGACTATGAACGTGTCAGGGATTACAGAGTAGAAATTGTTGCTGTAGATTCTGGAAATCCAGCACTGTCCAGTACAAACTCCTTAAAGGTGCAGGTGACTGATGTGAATGATAACTCTCCGATATTCTCCCCAACTTTGTTTGAGGTAGATTTTGCGGAGGAAAACCAACCAGGAGAGAAGGTTTTGGATGTTATCGCTTCTGATGCTGACAGCGGCACTAATGCAGAACTCCTCTATAATATTGTGGCAGATTCATCCATCAAAGGYTTGTTTGAGATTGATGCAAACACAGGTGAAGTAAGAGCTCGAAGCCCACTAGATCGCGAGCACAAGGAAAGATATGAGTTCAGGGTCACTGCAGCAGATAAAGGCTCACCTGTTCACAAAGGAACAGCAACAGTGGTAGTAAAAGTGCTTGACCGCAATGACAATGACCCCAAGTTCATGTTAAGTGGCTACAGCTTTTCAGTCTTGGAAAATATGCCTCCCCTCAGTCCGGTTGGAATGGTGACYGTTCAGGACATGGACAAAGGCGAGAATGCTCGAGTTCACCTCTCTGTAGAACCTGATGGTGGAAAGTTTGTAGTTCAAAATGGAACAGGCACCATTTTATCAAGCATTTCATTTGACAGAGAGAAAGAAAGCAGCTACACATTTCGTCTTAAAGCTGTGGATGGAGGAGAACCACCTAGGTCCTCTTACGTTGGTGTTACCATCAATGTATTAGATGAAAATGACAATGACCCTGTGATCACTAAGCCTTCTAACTCCTCTTTCCGTCGTTTGTCACCTCTAGCCTCACCAGATAGCCATGTAGAGGTGGTAGAGGCTGAAGACCTGGACAGTGGGCCTAATGCAGAGCTMGTGTACAATATTGCTGGAGGAAATCCTTACAATTTATTTCGCATTTCCCCCTCTAGTGGCGAAATCACACTGGCCAAGGAAATGACTCGCAAACATGGTGGACTACATCGCCTAGTGGTGCGAGTGAGTGACAGGGGAAAACCTCCACGACACGCTACTGCTTTGGTTCACATATATGTCAATGAAACAATTTCAAATGTCAGCCTTGTGGAAGCCTTAGTTGGACACAGTCTTTACACTCCACTGGATAGAGACATTGCTGGTGATCCCTACAGTGGTTTTGCTGCACACCGCAGTAACATTTTGTTTGGAAGTCTAGCTGGAGTGGCAGGAGTTGTAATGCTGATCCTGGTTGTGGTATTTATTCGTCACCGTATTCAAAGAGAAACAAAGAGTGGGTATCAGGCTGGAAAAAAGGAAACAAAGGARTTATATGCACCCAAGCAGGCACCAAAAAATGCCAAAGGCAAACGTGGAAGAAAAGGCAAACCCCAGAAGTCCCCCAAACCACTCGGGGAAGAGGAGGAGGTCAGCCTTCAAAAGAGTCTCAAGTTCAACCTTGATGGAGTCAATGACAGCCCCAGGATACACCTGCCCTTAACATATTCACCAGGAAGRCCTGATATAGGCAGGCACTACCGCTCCAACTCGCCCTTACCTTCTATTCACCTGCAAGCCCAATCCCCTTCAGCCTCTCAGAAGCACCAAGCCGTCCAGGACCTTCCTGCAGCCAACACTTTTGTTGGAACAGGAGGAGATGACAACTCCACCGGCTCAGACCAGTACTCCGATTACAGCTACAAAGCCAATCAACTCAAGTACAACAACAAGCAGGTAAAATGAGTCCCCGTAAAACATGACTTTTGTCTCGAATGTCTGTTAGGAGTGGATGATTAGTGTGATGTATTGTTTAAAGGTAATAAAGAGGGGTAGTAAAATCCTACATAATTGTTTGTACTGTGGGCAGTAGCTTTTAAATAACTTTTCACAGAGCAGCTCTGAGTCAGCTGCAGTCTTTTACTATGATTTAATTTAATGAGAGCACATTTGAATCATTTGAATGACATGTGTAATCATATTGGCATAACTATGAGTTGTAAAAGGGTAAATGATGCTTTAAAAGTTGTTTCAGTTTTTTTATGTCATTCCTTTTTTAATTTCAGCTTCTTTACTCCAGATCTACTAGAGTGACAAAATAATGTATGTTTTATTTAAAAAAATAATTTAAATATTTAAGGCATTCTTGGTCACTAAAGTAACAGAGACACGGAATATTTTGAAAATGAAATTCAGATGCAGTGTTGTTTAGTCATGTCTCTTGATGTTAACTGCAGTGACATGCAGCTCTGCTCACATGCAACTTTTCTAGGGGTTAAAAAAAAATTGGACACATGGAGTATTTGTCCATTTGTTGTACTCCTGGAGGACTATGATMGCCTGTCATATTTTGTTTTCCATCTGTTAGCCAGTACAGTTGAGTAGGCGAGGTCCATTTTTTTCTGTTACTTACTTCCGCTCTCCTGCCTGACCTCTAGTGCTCTGATCTCCGCAGGTCACTTGCTCTTATCTCCCTGCTCCTTATGCTCTTATCGTCTCTTATCTCCACAACATTTGGCAAGACTCAAATTGCCATGGAAACAGAAATATTATTAGACTCAGAGGGGATTACAAACACAAAATGTAGAGTCTAGGGATGGAGAACATGTGTGTCTTTGGGTTTCTGTAATTTGCTTCAGTGTGTYTGTTGGACTAGACATGGATAAATGTGTGTTTTAGTGTGTGTGCGCTGGAAAGGATTATACAGACATCTATTATTCTTGAATAGTGTGACATGTTATTATAGTGCTAGATGTCCGGATTTCTTGATCCCCCTCATTTAGTCTGCTACACTTGAGCTTTTCAAAACCAATTTATCTTTTCTCAAGCAATAATGTGTTGAACTTTCTTTCAGCATGAGTAAAAACAAAACAAAAAAGCCAACAAAAAAAAAAAATCCTAGTGTTAGTTGGAGGTAAAATCGGCATCATACTGTATAACTTCAAAGGAAGCCTCCCTCTAAAAACAGCATAGAACGGGGCCTTTTTCCACAACAAACAACCTCACTCTCTGATGCAGAGTATGATTAGCACCACCACATGAGTGACAACGAAAAGCTGCAAAATCACACAACAACTAGATCTAACAGCGTTATATTCATGTCGCCGCAGTGGTATTCAAAGGACGGCCATTATTTCATACAGAAAATGTTTGACACTGACATCTATGCTTTATTTTCACCCAACACGAGAGATGACATGAGCTTTCAAGTTGTGTCCCACATCGCAGTGTCACAGGTACAAAACAGTCTGACACTCTCCAAGGCTTTGCAGATAATGTTTCCAACATTTCTTTTTAAAAATTAGCAAAAATAGACGGGGAGAACTTGTCGCTGAACATGTGTAGGTGACACGTTTCCTGTGTAGATATCTTCAGTGGCAGCCTCACAGTTGACTGGTTGGTAGTTCCAGCAGATGCTTGCTGACAACTTTGGTGATCACAAGCCTTTGTGGGTGGACTCAGTTTAGAGAATAGTCACCACTGTCTGTATGACGGACAGCATAAGGGACCAAAATGACTGCAAGCCACAGGGTGTGTCTGGCTTTTTTGTGTGTAGTGCCAATCTTGGCATTCGTGCGTCAAATTGCTGCTTAGCGGAAGGGTGTTAATTGTGACTGCYGCGCAGCTGTAGGCTCTCAGAGCTTGACAGTATCTCGACTGAAGTTTCTCAATATGATAACATAAATACGTATGAGTCGRGGCCCAAGTGATTGACAGACCATGTGACAACACAGACAGATGCGGACGRTTGTGTGACATACCTCAGCAGATGTTGTCTTGTGTATGGCATAGCCTCTCACATCAGGAGGAACAGATTGACCAAAATATATAATTAAAGGAGCTGCCAAGTGAAGTGACAGATGCAGAGCCGTGCCCTTGCTTTAATTAACTGGGTTGCTCTCGACAATGGCTTTTTATTTGGGATGTGATCAGGTGTCTAGGCTTGAATTGCAGTTCACGTCTTGACATTATCGTCTAAAAATTARTGCTTGTTTACAGATTATGAGCGTATTTTTAATAAAACTTTTGATTAGCTGCATGAGTCTCAGCCCTGTTCTTTCACTCCATTCTTCTGAAGCCTCAAATGAAATATATTTAACTTACAAAAGCCAGTCTTTTGTTGAGTGGTTTCATATTTGTGTACATTGCTGTTATTACAAAGCTGTATCATGTATCTGAGTGTGTACCYTGTGCATAATGTTGCTATTTACGCTAGACTAGCAACAAAGTTTGATTTTGAGACTAGTTTTTTTTTTCCTGATTTTGAAGACAAAGGTTCATTTTTTGGTAGTTAGAAAACTATATTATGAACTACAGGACATATTCTAACAGATTCTCACAAAGCAATTATTGAAAGTACAAGCACAACTCTTTACCTTTTAGATTCAACATGATTGGAGACAGAGTTGATTGACTGTYGCCAACATAAAACTATAACACCTGTCAAATTTATATATACTAGGCAAAATGTTATTGTGTCAGTTGCTGGGACGGATGTCCAACCTGTATTTCAAGCACTAACCAGTTGTGCAAGGTTTATATTTAAAACTTATTAATCTGCCGTTTGGAATCAACTCTGTTTTTTTCTTAAAATATCTCATAAATCACTGAACAKATTTTATAACCTTCTATAGCCACCAAAGCCAGCATACATTAGAAAATACAGAAATGACCATAATTTATTCAGTTTTACAATTTATGTGTCAACATTTTGTGTGGTTATAGTTGTGAGCCATTAACAATATATACTTCAAGTGCTACCCATTGTATGCTCTTTGTCTGTTAGCAAAATATTTCATGAGGCAGTCTTGGGACCAGAAAGTCACAGGTTTGATCCTCCAACTAAGCTTACATGTCATGGAATCCTTAAGCAAGACACCTAGTCATTAAGCTCCCCAGACACTCATATAGCTGCCCGCTGCTACTATTGGGTGTAATATTGTGCAACCCTATTTCCAATGTTTAATTGAGCAGATACAAAGCTCGTTTTTGCAAATGAATACATTTTTATCTAAAACTTTGGCAGGAATTGTGGTGGACAATGTGCAGTCCTTCCTGAAATGCTAGACCTTTAATTTAAACTGCAATCAAATAGTATYTTTCATAGCAAGACTAGATACAGGCTGGCAAAACACAGGTTTTCAGATTGTTTAATAATATAAACAGTAACACTGTGACAATGACATATGCAAATGCATACATCCCTTTGTTCAGACAGTTTTGCACAAATGTTTATCAGTATGCAAACATTATTATCAGTGGGAGTATCAAACATGGTTTGTGAACAATAGTAAGTTATGCATTGTATTGTGTGGGTGTTTTTAATGCTATTTCTTATATATGTAGAACCATCCTCTACGATAAGCTGAATACTAGAATATTTAAATATGTTCTGCTCAAGACAGGCTTGTTGAGGGTGCCAAAGCCCCAGCAGATGTTTAAGATGTCCTAATTAGATCACAGTGCTATCAAAGCACATGTCAGCTATATGTGCAAGAGTAACTCTTTGTTTTGTTTCCCCCTCTGCACTAGAAACCCGTACCAGCATCAATTTTAAAACATTTTGATCTGTTCCCAAGGCTCTGTAGAGAGAAATTCAGCCCTCTAATTGCTTTAGATTAACCCACTTAGGTGCAGAATTCCTGAAATGCCATTTCCGGGATAAATTGTTGAAGCACAGATATGCTTCCTCTAAACAAAACTGAAGGGGGCTGGGGATAAAACCTCAAACAAAACATTGTTTTGATAATATAAAATTAWAACAGTTATTTTATTTTTATAGCATACTTGTTTAAAAAATAGACTGTATAAATATTAGAAACAGAATCTGCATTCAAAAGCATTGTCATCCCAAACTTGTCCACACTTCTATGTTTCTCCCCCACAACCTATTGTTCGATTTGTCTACATATTTTTTTTTTTATTATATGACTGTTCTGTACTCCACATTTCTGTTTCTCCCACACTACCCTAATCATTATAGGTACTGTATCTACAGGGTTTTTTTTTTCTTTTTCTTTTGTGCAATGTCCTTGGGTGTCCTGAAAGGCACATTATAAATAAAATACATTATTGTTATTATTATTATTATTATTATTATTATTATTATTAATAATAATAATAACTCCTTACTGCAGTGGTAACTGACAGTTGCCATGTATTGTATTTGACCAGAGCCAATGCAATTCAGCACCATGGACAGTGCTTTCTCTGCAAACTGTGTCGAAGCTTCTTTGCAAATGGAACACRACTGCATCACAGGCGGAAAAGGAAGATGATGTGCCTGTGAAATGRCACTAAAGAGTGACTCCACTCAAATGTGCTTCTTTGTCAGAACACTTTAGAATCACACTCCATGCTTATCATTTGTTCAAAGTGCAGCATTGGAGGGGGAAACAGGGAACTTTTTAATTGTTTTAGAGCCCACCAACGCTTTATAGAAAAATMACAATAAAAAGCTTGAGTCWTTTATAWGGTGTTGCGGTTTAGCTTCACTGAATCTCAATTGCAGCCTTTACTGTTGCTTTCATACTGCCTGCACCTGTTTGGGTAATATTGTAATTAAAGTGGGGACACTGGGAATTTTCCTTGRGGTCTTGGCACATTGAACCATTCTCAGGTGTGTGTCACAGTTTTGTTATTGAGCCTGGGCAGACTTTTGCATCTGGGAGAAGGTGGATTTTAAAGGAATGTAATTATGTATGGCAATTTCCTGTGTCGAATACGTGTATATTGTA